CTTAATAAAGATTAGTTGAGTAAATGAGTGAATAACAGGGTTTGGTATTTGTACATCAGAATGTTAAAATATTTTCACTCATATGCTAATTCAACTCAGTCTTTTTAAATCTTTAGTTTTTAACTAAGAAATGGGCCACATTCTAGGCTTTTATTGAATTATAATCTCTGGGAGATAGGCCCTGAGCATGTTTATTTTGGTGAAAGCTCTCTAGGTGAGTTAGTGCTTCAAATCTAGTGAATGTAACTGCTGTCTTCTCTGGAGTGGGATCAGGACAGTTAATATGGCAAGAGGTGTTCTGGTTATTTTGTACTTTTTTCAATATGTGGATAAAAGACCAGGTCCAATGGCTTTGGTACTGCTGAGGTTTGTGAAAAAACAGATGGGCAGGCAAAAACTTGGGCATGGATTACAAAATGAACAAGGGAGTATGCAAATATGACAGACTTACATTTCAAGTGATAAGGATTTGTTTGAAAACTTCAACCTTACTTTGTTGTTTTCTGAACATGTGAATGTGATGGTTTAGGAAAAGAATCCATTTAATGGTGACAAATCTAGTTTTCAGAAATGTATGCGTTCCAGAAATTATTTTCTTTTTATATATACGTATCTTCTTTCATTTTTCTGTTGAGACTGATCTTGTAAATCAGAGACATAGGAATTTCACCTCTAACTAACATGGGAGAGACTTCCTATATTAATTTATGCCACCCACTGTATTTTTACCAGTGTCCAATAGGTGTTTGCACCTGATAGGTACTCAAAACTGTGTTCTGTAGTCTTTTGAAACGTCTTCAGTTTTTGCTTGGTTAAGTTTATGTGGCTTTTAGATGAATGTGGTAAATCTAAGATAGTTAGGGAGGAACGGAGTCAAGAGAGTAAGCATGGCTACTGGAGGAAGAGTAATGGGTGGGAGTCAGAAGACAAAAGGGTCTGCACAATGGCTGTGTGATTATGGACAAATCACCTAATTTTTTTCTATTTCCTCATCAGTAACTATGCTAAATTATCTTTTCTAATTTGTAGGATTGTGAGACTCAAATGAAATAATGAAGGATATTACTACTGTAGAACCAAAGAAGGTATAAGCAGCCATTTGGTTTACTTCTTTCTACCATGTATGTAGCACAACCAACATTTAATCAAGTTCTTTGGATATACAGAATGAAATGGTGCGCATAATGAATATTTTCTCATTAGAGATTTATCAAGGAAAACTTCTGTACAAGATTTTAAAATTTTGTTAATAGAATTTGTTTTAACCAGACGATCTTATAAACTATGCCTAGAAACATGAAAGTGGTCTTCATGTGGCTCTTTTAGTGTTCTGTAATGGCATTTGCTGTGATGGGATTTCACTTGCAGAGCTTTAGGCTTAAATTGTGGTCCTGTGATACATGCCTTTTACTTTTACTGTGTGTAATTGTCTCTTAGTAGGGTTGGTTTTAGTTCTGAACTTTAGTTGCATTCAGAACATTCTTAAAGAATGCTCTTTAAAATTAACAGTAGGAGTATTGTGAAATATAATTTTAAACTTTGAGAAGATAGTTTAGGATCCTAGAGTGCTTTCACTGTTATCAAGAACACCCATTATTATTTTACATAAGAAGTTCCACTAAATAGTTTGAATTTTTAGAATGCTAGAAATCCTTTTATTGCAGTAGCAATGCTTCTTCAAACCCAACACTTTTATCCTTGTTAATACCATTAACTGTTAGCCAACCTGCTACAGCAAATTATCTGACTTATATCTTATTTCCCCCGCAATAATCTACCTTAAGACAATGATGAAAAAGAACAGTGAAGAGCATAGGATGGACATGTTTCATGCTCTGACATCTCAAAACCTATTATAGAAGGCTGTAAGCATTTAAAACTTTGTGTAACTGGTATTAATAGGCAGATAAGTTGTTTAGAGTTGCTCAGAAATTCTGTGGGGGCACCTGGGTAGCTCAGTCAGTTAAGCGTCTGACTCTTGATTTCAGCTCAGGTCATGATCTCAGGGTTGTGAGTTCAGGCCCTGCATTGGGTTCCACACTGGGCATGGAGCCTACTTAGAAAAAAAAAAAAAAAGAAAGAAGAAATTATATGTTACGTAAATTTTACATGTAAATTAGATATCATCTGTATACATATATATGTATTATAAGTTACATGCATTATATTTATAAAAGTACAGCCTAGCCCTTCAGCACTATTTTAAATATTCTAGGTTATAAAGATCCACAGGTCAGTGGGTGAGAGAGTAGGATTATTCAGTATAATTTGTTGCAACAAACCGGATGACTGGAAAAAAGCTTATACATCAAAATAATAGGAAATAAAACACATCCCAATAGATTAAAAGCAGATTTCAGAAACAGTTTATTTCAGGAAATAGACCTGGGTGAAAAATATGGAAATATGTTCAACTTCACTATTAGATAAATGTATAGTGAAGCAGAATAAGTTTTTGCAAAGTTTATTTAATTTTAAAAAATTATTACATGAATATACCCAATATAGGTATAGATGGATGAAAGTAACTGCTCCGGTCATTGCTGAAGCAAGAGAGTGAGTTGGTAGACTTGCTTTGGAGAATGGCGTTATGAAACACACAAGGGACCTTTAATATGCTTATAACCTTTGGCTTAGTAATTCTTCTAAGAGTCTCTTCTAAGCTGATAAGCCTGATTGGCCTCCCAGTACAGGTTTATGGAAAAGATCATCTTATCATGTTGTTTTATTTGAAAGCCCAAACATCGTCTAAGAATAGAAATTTAGTTATAAATTATGCCATCTATAAGGTGACTTAAAATAATTAAAAAGCTAACTGTAGATAATTTATAATATAGAAAAATTTTTGGTAAATGAGAAAGGGTAGGATATAAAATGAGAAGTAGGGGATGATCAAACTGTTAAAAAAGAAAAGCACAGGGAAAAAATGCTAGAAGCAAATATATCACAGTAGTAACTCTTTGGGCATAGAACTGTGAGTGGTATATTTTCTTCTGTTTTCTAGATTTTTTATTCTAGGCATGTTTTTGTTAGAATAGAGAATAATTTAATTTGAGCTTTAATATTGTTTATCTTGGGAAACATGAAATTACTATAGTGCCTTTGCTTTTTTTTGCTTTTAGGCTGAACATTGGTATAGAAATATGCTACGGATAGGATAGTTTATAGAAATAAGGAAAACAAATTACTTATGTAAATATTTCCAAATATACTATGTGGTGGATTGTATTTCTGTTCAGTGAAATCTGCTTTCCTTCCTCGGGGGAGGATTTTACTTCCCTACTTGTTGAAGTCCAGTTTGGCCATGTTCACAGAATGTGAGTAGAAGTGATATATATCAGTTTGGGGATAAAGCTTTAAAAATCAGTTTGTGCTTCATTATACCCTCTTTTTCTTCTGCCACAGTGACTGACAGTGTTCTAGATAGAGGTTGTTCCATCAGCCTGGATCTCAGAGTAAAGATGACATGGAGCATAGGATGGACATGTTTCATGAGTGAAAAATAAACCTTTGTTGTAAGTCACTGATTTGAGGTCATATGTTACTGCAGCATAATCTTCCCTCTCCTCTCTGAGCAGCATCTGAAATAGTGGATAGGAGAAATATTTAGAACAAATACTATGTTTTAGGTTTCTGAAAGAAGTAGTCTTTGGCTTTATTTTATTTTATTTTTATTTTTTTAAAGATTGATTTATTAATTTGAGAGAGAGAGAGTGTGTGTGCCCACACAAGCAGGGGGAGGTGCAGAGGAAAGGGAGAGAATCTCAAGCAGATTCCCTGCTGAGCACAGAGCCCAATGCGGGGCTTCATCTAACCACCCTGAGATCCTGACCTGAGCTGAAATCAAGAGTTAGCCGTTTAACCGACTGAACCCCCCGCCCCAGGCACCCCTCTTTGGCTATATTTTAGATCAGGGGTTGGCAAACTTTTTCTGTAAAGGGCCAGAGCTTTGTGGGTCATGTACTCTCTCTTGGAACTACTCAGTTCTGCTCTTGTAGCCCTAGAGCAGCCCTAGATAATATATAAATGAATGAGAATGGCTGTGTTCCAATAAAACTTTATTTAAAAAATAGGAGATTTGGCCCAAGGGCCTCAGTTTGCTGATCCTTGTTTTAGGCCACAGACTCAGAATCTTGGGGTTAGAAGGAAATTTAAATCTTCAAAATAATCCTTGTCTGTGTGAGAATTCCTTCTTCAGTGTTGCTGAGTTACCGACAGACTACCACTCAGCCTCTTGCAGTGACTCCAGTGTGATGGTATACTGTCCTGGGAGGCAAGTGAGTTCATTTTCGAGCAGGCGTGATGGTTTTAGTGAGCTAAAATGTGCATCCCTGTAGTTTCCATCCAGTAGTCCTAGTTCTTTCTCTAAGACTCTAGAGCATAAATTCAAACCCTGTCACGTCCTTTAAGTGTGATCTTCATGCTAATTCACTCTACAGCTCTCAAGCTAGATTACTCCTAGTTCTTTCAAAGTGTGCTTTCAACCCTGTGGCCATACTTCTCTCCATTTCCTTAACAGCTTTTCTCATCATCTTTCCTCAGCTTCTTGGATTGTCATAATCCTACTTAGTTTCCAGGTTCAGCTCAATCAGATGTTGGTCGGCTCTCTGTTCCCACAGAACTTTTTTCTGATAGAATATCTTGTGTTTAAAAAAGCATGTGTGGAATCCTTACTAAATTCTAAGTGAGATGCTTGAAAATATGGGTACTGAGGATACAGTCATGATTAAATAAGGTTCCTGTCCCCATAAGTTATAAGTAATACCGTAAGTGATTTTGGATTCCAGATTAAAGCTGTTGGTTGTTTTTGAATTGATTATTAACTTCAGTTCTAAAATACCTGAAAGGTTTTATAGTCTTAAGATTATCTATAGATAATCACTGAAAGAAAAATGAAACAAATACTCAGATATGTTATTTACTAGGAATGTCTCTTACCTTTTAGTTGTTAGGTTAGATAGTTTCTACATAGACCTTGGAATATAACTTCCTTTAAATAGTTGAAAATGTTAATAGCTCTAATGTGTGTGAATCAGGATTTTCTCACTACTATGCTGAAAGGCAAAATGGTAACAGGTATATGTTACAAATTGAACTTTCAGAATACAGTCTTATATAATATTACTTTTATTTGGTATTTGGGGGATTTTTTGGTAAGGGTCCATTTGAAATAGGGTTCTGCTATTTAAAAAATTGAAAATCACTAGTTTAAATGTCTCTGTCTTCGTTCATTAAAGCAAAGCAGTTTCTTAATTTGTTTCCTTTGGTGTTTTGTACATGACTGAAACATCACTTAATGCTTATTAGCCAGTATGACTTGATTTTGGTCTTTAGAGGATTCCTCCTGGTTGATTTTTACTATACTGCTCTAATGAAGTTGGTCAGGGTCTAGCGTATACTGAGTCATAAAGAGAATCAAATATTCTAGGCATGTAGTCTGACCTCAGTGAAGCGGAGCAGAACCAGCCCCACTTGTGGTCTGCCCGCTGTGTATGTCTGCATTGTTTGAGTTCATTATTTTGAGGGGAAGGAGGTAGAGCTAATTAAAAAAAGGCAAAGAGCTCTATTTAGCTTAGTCATTTGAGACTTTGTCGTGTGTTGCCATTGTACCAGTTCTCTTACATAACAAATGATGCAGTTGTTGTAAAATAAAATGTGGAGGGAGGAGGAGCAAGATGGCGGAGGAGTAGGAGACCTAAATTTCATCTGGTCCCAGGAATTCAGCTAGATAGTTATCAAACCATTCAGAACACCTACAAACTCAACAGGAGATCGAAGAAAAGAATAGCAGCAACTCTGTGAACAGAAAGGCAACCACTTTCTGGAAGGTAGTACGTGCGGAGAAGTGAATCCGAGGCGATATTTGGGAAAATAGACCGTGGGGGGAGGGAGCCTCCGTCAGCCGCTACCGGCAAGTGATAGAGCAGCGGAGCACAAAATCGGAACTTTTAGAAGTCGGCTCTGCTGAGGGACGTCGCTCCACTGGCTAAGTGGGGGGTGGAACCCTCGCTGGGACAGTGTGGTCTCAGGACCGTCGGGGTCACAGAAAGACCAGGGGTGCCTGAGTGTGGCAGAGCTCCCAGGTTTCGGAGCAGAGAAGCCAGCTGCAAAGACAGACTCGAGGAGTGGGCTCTTAGCTCGGGGTTGCCATCAACCGTGATCCATGGCACAGTCGGGCCACTGCTCCTCCAGCAGGGAGCCAACGAGCGGCAGATCCAGGGAGACTCCCCTTCCTCCCCCAGGAGGAGCGCACCCCAGGAATCTGCTGGGTCTGGAGACTCCAAACGAGGTTGTGTGCCAGAGATAGAAATGCTTGGTCATAGGCCAGGTGAGTGTGGAGTGCGGCCAGAGACCAGGGAGACGGGAGTGATAGCTTTTCTCTGGGGGCGCACTGAGGAGTGGCACCCTGAGCTCTCGGCTCCTCCGGGGCCAGAGATTGGGAGGCCGCCCTTTTCATTCTCGTCCTCCAACGCTGTACAGAGAGCGTTCAGGGAACAAAAACTTGCGAGAGCAAACCCGAGCAGATTACTTAGCCCCGACCGGGCAAGGGCGGGGCAATTCCGCCTCCGGCAAAGACATTTGGGAACCACGGCAACAGGCCCCTCCCCGAGAAGATCAGCAAGAACAGCCAGCCAAGACCAAGTTTACCGATCAATGAGAACGGCAGAACTCCAGCGCTAGGGGAATATAGCACATAGAATTCATGGCTTTTTCCCCATAATTTTTTAGTCTTTAAAAGTAAATTTTTTAAATTTTCTTTATTTTTTTTCTATTTTTTTAGTTGAATTTTTTCTTTCCTTTTTCAGCCAACATCAATTCCTTTTTTAAAATCTTTAATTTTCATTTTTACACTCATATTCTATCCCTTCATTATATTTAACCTTATTTTTTGTATATATATGTTTTTTTGTCTTTAAAATTTTAGGATACAGTTTTTTTTTTAATTTTATTTATTTGAGAGAGAGAGAATGAGAGAGAGCACATGAGAGGGGTTAGGGTCAGAGGGAGAAGCAGACTCCCTGCTGAGCAGGGAGCCAGATGCGGGACTCGATCCAGGGAATCCAGGATCATGACCTGAGCCGAAGGCAGTCGCTTAACCAACTGAGCCACCCAGGCGCCCAGGATACAGTTTCTTCTAACAGACCAAAATATACACTAAATCTAGTATATGACTTTGTCCTAGTCTCCCACCTGATCACATTCTCTCCTTTTTTCTTTTAAAATTTTTTTGTTCTTTTTTCAATCAGCATCTTATCAATTCCTTTTTAAAAATTTTTTTAATTTTCATCTTTACAGTCATATTCTATTCCTTCATCATGTTTACCCTTATTTTTGTATATGTATGTTTTCCTTTCTTTAAAATTTTGAGAGGCAGTTTCTTCTAACAGACCAAAATACACCCAATATCTAGTGTGTGGCTCTGTTCTATTCACCAGCCTGATCATATATATATATTTTTTTCCCTTTCTTTTCCCCCGGTTTTGGGTCTTTTCTGATTTGTTGACTGTATCTTCTTGTGGGGTCATAGTTACCCTTTTAGCATTTTGTTCTCATTCATCTGTTCTTCTCTGGACAAAATGACGAGATGGAAAAACTCACCTCAAAAAAAAAAAAAAAGGCAGTACTGACTGCCAGAGACCAAATCAATACGGACATTGATAGGATGTGGGAACTAGAGTTCAGAATGACGATTATAAAGATACTAGCTGGGCTTGACAAAAGCATAGAAGATACTAGAGAATCCCTTTCTGGACAAATGAACTAAAATCTAAGTGGAAATCAAAAAGGCTATTAATGAGGTGCAATCAAAAATGGAGGCTCTAACTGCTAGGATGAATGAGGCAGAAGAGAGAATTAGCGGTATAGAAGACCACATGATGAAGAATAAAGAAGCTGAGAAAAAGAGAGATAAACAACTACTGGATCACAAGTGCAGAATTTGGGAGATAAGTGATATCATAAGATGAAACAATATTAGAATAATTGGGATCCCAAAAGAAGAAGAACGAGAAGGGCAGAAGGTATATTAGAGCAAATTATAGAAGAGAACTCCCCTAATTTGGAGAAGGAAACAGGCATCAAAATCCAGGAGGCACAGAGAACCCTCCTCAAAATCAATAAAAATAGGTCAGCACCCCACCATCTAATAGTAAAACTCACAAGTCTCAGAGACAAAGAGAAAATCCCGGAAGCAGCTCGGGACAAGAGGTCTGTAACCTACAACGGTAGAAACATATAGATTGACAGCAGACCTATCCACAGAGACCTGGCAGGCCAGAAAGGACTGGCAGGATATATTCAGAGCACTAAACGAGAAAAAAAGACAGCCAAGAATACTGTATCAAGCTAGGCTGTCATTGGAAATAGAAGGAAAGATAAAAAGCTTCCAGGACAAACTAAAAGCATTTGCGATTCTCACACCAGCCCTACAAGAAATATTGAAAGGGCTCCTCTAAGCAAAGAGAGAGTCTAAAAGTAACATAGACCAGAAAGGAACAGAGACAGTATACAGTAACAGTCACCTTACAGACAATACAATGGCACTAAATTCCTATCTTTCAATAGTTACCCTGAATGGAAATGGGCTAAACGCCCCAGTCAAAAGACACAGGGTATCACGTTGAATAAAAAAAATAAGACCCATTGATATGCTGCCTGCAAGAGACTCATTTTAGACCCAAAGACCCCTCCAGACTGAAAGTGAGGGGGTGGAAAACCATTTACCATGCTAATGCACACCAAAAGAAAGCTGGGGTGACAATCCTTGTATCAGACAAATTAGATTTTAAACCAAAGACTGTAATAAGAGATGAGGAAGCACACTACATCATACTTAAAGGGTCTCTCCAACAAGAAGATTTAACAATTTTAAGTATCTATGCCCCTAACATGGGAGCAGCCAATTATATAAGCCAATTAATAACAAAATCAAACACATCAACAATAATACAGTAATAGTAAGGGACTTTAACATCCCCCCCCTCACTGAAATGGACAGATCATCTAAGCAAAAGATCAACAAGGAAATAAAGGCTTTAAATGACACACTGGACCAGATGGACTTCACAGATATATTCAGAACATTCCA